CAGGGTATACTAAGCATGAGGCAGGACCACACCCTGGATGGGACACAGGTACATCACAGGGCATCATGCCCACACACACACTCACACATAGGGGCGATTTTTATAGACTTATCTACCGACTGACGAGGAACCCGGGAGCCTGCTGGAAACCCACACAGACACAGTGGGAACATGGAGAACTCCAAACGACACAGTACAAACCAGGGACTGTGGAGCTGTAAGGCAGCAACGCTACCCTCTGCACCACCATGACACCTCCTTCCATCTATTTTCCATACCATGTATCCTACAAAGGGGCCCAGGGATACCTGGAGCCTATCCCAGAGAACTCTGTGCACAAGGTGAGGAACACAATCACACACTACAGAGAAGTTGAAAACGCCAGTCTAATAGGCATGTCTTTGGACTGGAGGAGGAAACCAGAGTACCCGGAGGAAACCAGCAAAGCACGGCGAGAACATCCAAACTCCATCCGCGCAGGGAGGAGGGATTCGGACCCTCATCCCTGGAGACAGGGGAAGCAGAAAACAGTCAGCAGTCTCGAACCCCTTCCTTAACCCACAATGTGTACGTCATTGATAAGTAACCACTAGTTAGTAACATTGTAACACTCCAGTTACAGTGTGGCACAATGCGCACTTGGCACGCGGCCATACACGCAGAACCAAACGGTTGGCGCACTATCTAGTGCAGTAGTGTGCGGTTTGGGACGTTACCTATACTCCAACACTGATTACACGAGTCTGACACTTTCTAGCCGCCGGTGCGATCAGAAACGTGTTTCATTGTGTCCACACACACACACACACACACACCAACACACAGGCGGAGCAGCTGCGCAATCGATTAAACCGATTTGAGGAGGTGTTTTAAATCAGCGCCGAAATAAGTGCAGGAGAGGCGCTAATGAAGCCAAGCTGCTCTCTCCACGCGCAAGCACACACACACCATGGCGATTTAATCCTCTTAGGAAAGAAATCGCGCTCTGCACCCAAACCGCAACCCCTTTTCATTCTCTGGAACTCGAACTCGGCATGAGCGGAACGCGAGCGCGTGCGTTCAGGACCAACGGAACCTCAGCACTTACTTCGCTTTCTGAACTCGGCGGAATTCCGACAAGACAAAACGCCACTCCATTCATTGGGCAGCTGGACTCCTGGAGGACCTGGGTAGCGGAGAAGGCGCGGTATGCAAACTGAACAGCGTTAATGTTCAACCGCAACAACAACAATAAAGTTTAGAGGTCCGCATTCAGCTCCCCGATTCCGTCCCGGTCCGCTTTTTCCCGTTGTTTGGTTTGTTGGCGCTCGTGTCCGTCCCTCCCTCCCTCCACCCCCGCGCTGTAAATCCTCGGCTCCACAGCTCAGATCTGAGCAGGCATGAGGAGACTCATAGACTCAAATCTGCGCAGAAATACCCCCCCCTCCCCTCCCCGCCTCCGCGCCTTTCCCTCTCTCCCTCTCTCCCTCCCTTTTTACGCACTCTAGTGGCTTGCCGTAGTTCAGCGGTCGTGTGTGCGGAGAGCAGAGCGCTCGCAGCGCCCCCTAGTGGTAGCTCAAGAACTGCGCATTCACGCTTTCACTTGAGAGGTTCTCATACCCTGTCACTCCAAAGGTTCTCATACCCTGGCACGCCAGAGGTTCTCGTACACTGTCACTACAGAGGTTCTAAGACCCTGTCACTTCAGAGCTTCTCATATCCTGTCACCCTAGAGCTTCTCAGACAGGATATGAGAAGCTCTGAAGTGACAGGGTCTGAGAACCTCTGTAGTGACAGTGTATGAGAACCCTGTCACGCCAGAGGTTCTCATACCCTGTCACGCCAGATGTTCTCATACACTGTCACTACAGAGGTTCTCATACACTGTCACTACAGAGCTTCTCATACCCTGTCACTCTAGAGCTTCTCATATCCTGTCACTCTAGAGCTTCTCAGACCATGTAACTTCAAAGGTACTCAGACCCTGTCACTCCACAGCTTCTCATACCCTGTCACTTCAGAGGTACTTCAGAGGTTCTCAGACACTGTCACTTCAGAGCTTCTCTGACACTGTCACTCCAGAGCTTCTCATACCCTGTCACTTCAGAGGTTCTCATATCCTGTCATTCCAGAGGTTTTCAGACCCTGTCACTTCAAAGGTTCTCAGACCCTGCCACTCCACCAATTCTGAAGAATGGTCTGCGTGTGTCTCAATCAGCTCCCTAAGACTTGAATCAATATATGATGTACACAAGTTCGAGCACTGGTTAGGACCCCGGCTCACTACACATTGGGACACTGATGACTGAATTTCCGGCGACATGACTACATTTCTATATGTTCCAGAAATGTTCCACGAACCCGTATACCAGTACAGGCTTTTTCTAACGTTTCTGTACTCAGTACCGTCCACTTAACGATCGGATCACTCAGGATACATGTTAATTCCAGGTGTGAATGGGGCCCTCATACTTTTTCCAGCCAGGGTATCCATTTAGCTGTAACCCTTTAGATGTATAGCTGACTCTTAATTATTAATTGGAGCCATAGAGCTTTTTATTCCTGGAATTTCTGGAATCCACGGTCCATGTCGACTTTATTTATAGGCTTACTGTTTTGTTATTTCCCCAATTTTCCACCCAGTGTGCTACTGCCAATTCCCACCGACTAGCTAACTTTCCCCATCCCACTCCGAAACATGTGAACACAACCTCTGCATCTCTTCGAATTGCTGATCAGACAAAAAATATACATATATAACTAGTTTAAAACATTTTGCATATGCATAAACATGCATGTTTATTTTCTCTTTTTGTTCATCAGTCCAAATATCCAGAACACCTCACATCTCTGTGGTGCTACAGCTCTGTCCATTGGTTCAGTTTGTCTCTCTCGGTCCAATTCCAAAAAAGTTGGGACGCTGTGTAAAATGTAAATAAATGTAAATATAAACAGAATGCAATGATTTGAAAATCTCACAAATCCATATGTTATACACAATGGAACATAGAAAACATGTCAAATGTTTAAACTGATGAAATGTACCATTTTAAGAAAAGAATAAGGTAATCTTCAATTTCATGGCCACAACACGTGTCAAAAAAGATGCAACAAAAGACTGGAAAAGTAAGTGTTATTAAAAAGAATGGTAAATGGGCATTTATATAGCACTTTACACTGTGACTCATTCACCCATTCACACACACCAATGGTAGCAGAGCAGCCATGCAAGGCACTAACTTGCTATTGGGAGCAACTTGGGGTTCAGTGTCTTGCCCAAGGACACTTCGGCATGTGGAGTCACCCAGGCCGGGAATCAAATCGCCAACCCTACAATTAATGGACAACCCGCACTACCACCTGAACCACAGCCGCTGTTACAAAAAGAAACAGCTGGAGGTTCATTGGCAACAGGTCATTAACATGATTGGGTATAAAAAGAGTATCTTAGAAAGGCAGAGACTTTCACAAGTAAAGATAAATTATTGCAGACTTTTGTGGTTACAACTAGAGGTCGACTAATTGATTTGGTTTTGGCAATTAATTGGCAACGATGACAAATTGCTGATCGGTTATTGGCAACAATCCACACCCATTGTTTATCCCGCTCTGTGAAGGGTCTGCTGTCATTATACAGCACAAGAGCAGCATCAAGAGGTGAAATAAAAACTATCACTGAAATTTTGTTGTGTTATTTGAAGTGTTGTTTTTTTTTTCTTTTTCTTTTTGGATATTTAGCATTTGGAGATGTTACTTTTTGGTTTAGTTTGGATGTATATTTACTTATGAGTATTGTGTTTTCATTCAGTAACAATTTTTAAAACTCCACTATCGGTCGCTATTCTGTCGATACAGTGTTTGTTACTCGGAGGACACAAAGTTTGAACCCAGTATAGTGTTGTAGACACTTTAAAAAATTTAAATCACAAATATAGCTGTCTATCTCCCTTTAAGTGTGTTTAGTAATTTTCCCCACAATATTCTTATTATGCCATGAAAGAGACCTTGTGATATAATTCATCGTTCAACCTTAATAGGTTCTTCGTCAAGCTATCAATAGCTATTAGCCTTTAGCGCTCCAATCTACTATCACAACCAGCCATCACTGTGATATTAAACTCAGTGAGGATAAGCGTGTTTATTAACTGTAGAAGAAAGACAGGAACAGTTTGGGCTCCAGTGTTCTACATGCTTTAATTTCAGTGTACATGCACCATTCAGAAGGCAAAAAGCCTTAGTTTGCGGCTGTGAAACACAAAGAGCTCTTTGTGTCCAGACAAAGAGGTAGGTAGGGAGTAAATACATAACAGTGGAGCGAAAAAAGGAAAAGGGTGAAAAGCAAAGGGGGTGCAGAACTGCAAAGACAGACGGAAGGAGCTCAGTATTTCCATCCTGAGTCAGACTGCATGTGGTGATGTGGCGAAAATGCTGTACATATTAACACACGCACACACACAGCACATTCTCTAAGCGAGTGACACAAGCCTGAAGAGTGCTGAATGCTCATAAATTAGTCTCTTAAGGCTTTTAAAGACTGAATTGGATGTAATTATTTTTACACCACACATCGCTGAAAATAAGGAGCAGTCACCCTAAGGTCAAAATAATACAGCGAATTCCATCTCTATAAATATGCATAATACTGACATGCAGCATAGCATAGGGGGTCTGAGATGCCTCTTTTTTAGTTACAGCAATGAAAATCATTATCAAAGTTATTCCATTTATTATTAGCCTGTTTGATTTGTCACTTGAATTGAACGGGTTTAATCCAAACCTTATTAACTCTAGCAGGCTTATAAATAATGACCATCAACTTGGTGGAAATACTCCTGTCACATTTGAATAATGCTCAAAAATAAATCTGTCAGTTCGTTCAGAATTTCGCAGAGTTATTATTTTTTGTGAATGTTGCTGTGGCCTTTTTCAAAATTTGCAAGGTTTAGCAAGTTTTCCTCACACCTCCAGGCTTGGGGGTTAGATTCCTGTCGCTGCCATGTGTGTGTAGAGACAGGCCAGACAGGGGGCACCTGGAGTTGAACCAGAGACCTCTTGATCTTGATCTGCAGTCAAATGCTCTACCACTGAGCTATACCTCCACATTGAGGTATTCTCTGGGTGGTAGGCTGATTGGCATGTCTAAAGTTTCCATAGTGTATGAATGGGTGTTTTAATGTGAATGTGATTGTGCCCTGCGATGGATTGGCACCCCGTCCAAGGTGTGTCCCGCCTTGTGCCTTATGCTAATTCAGATGGGATCCAGGTTCACCACGACCCAGTAGGATAACGGATATAGAAAATAAACGGATGGATGGATGCATTGTACGGTCTTTCACAATGATGTTTGTTGGAAAATTATCCCTTTTAGATTACCATTTTACGCACATGTATTAAAAACAGCTATGGCTGACCCTGTGTAAAATATGATAGAATTATATAAAATTTTTTTGATTTGTTCATTTTGATTGTTGATTTGTGCTATTACAATACGTTTGAGAACCCTTCACGTAAATACCCTTATTTAGGATTGGAAACACCTGTATTTTAACATGCAAAAAAGTTATTTGATTCTTAAAAAAATATATTTTTTAAGTATGCTAGCACAGGATGTAATTTTTTTTAAACATTGCATAGAGTAGTGCATTTTTGTTTGGAATTTCCGTCACACAAATTTCAATTATGCAGCCTATGTGCAAAGGCCTTCATATCAGCAGTGCCATAATCTAGGTAAAGTTTAAACAAACAGCAGATCAATCTTTCCCAGCAGGCCTGTAAGTGACATCAATTCAGTGGCGATTACTGATGCTCAAGTTCAAACAATTTTACTCAGCCTTATCACTGCAATACTAGAAAACAAAATAATGGCAGACTTCAGTATGAAAGTATAACCATAATTATGCTAATTACATTCCAAGCAGGTATTACAGTACAATATACACCACTTATCAAAACTATGGTTTCTTCTAGGAATGGCTCCCAGATGCAGACTTTGGTTTAGGATTACACATAATTTGTGTTATGATGGCAACAAAAAATTTTGTATGAATCGCTTGTTTCTATTTATAGTAATACGTCGTTTTGTTTTTGTGGGACGTTTTCCAGTTGACTGTGGTACCATTAAGGGATTATTATTGTAGTTGGCAGAATGGTTTATATAAGCCAAAGCATGGCTACACACACATGCTATTAGAGTGCAAATGAAGCCAGGAACCCAAAATACTCCAGGGTATAACACTATAGACAGAGAAGTCGTGATAATAATGATAATATAAATCTGTTTTCTATTTATAATATAAATCTGACTAATTGAGTTGCATTGTCTTAACTGGATTGCACTGTTGCGTTGAATTGAATTAAACAAATTGTAGAAGAGTGTGATGGGGTCCATAGTGGGGAAAAGAATACTGAAACATCTGCTGAGTGAGAGAGAGAGAAAGAGAGAGAGAGAGAGAGAAGGGGAATGGAGGGCAAACATAGCATTCAAGGCCTTCACTAACTAAATTTACTCAGCCCATGTGCATCCCGTTAGACATGGAGAGAGAGTTAAGAGAGAAAACAAGGCAGGAGATGTCCACAAACATATTCTCGGCCCATGTCTATTCTACAAGCCCCTTGAAAGGCCAGTGATGTCATGAGGTAATAACATGTTCGTTACAGTACATGTGACCCAGATGACCCACATATAATGGAATCTATTTTTTTAATTGGGATGTGTGTAAATAGATACATATACACAAACGTAACCCCCAGACATCCCCCCCAACGAACCACCGCGGTATTGGATACAACAACCTGTCATAAATCTGTACTGCCCTTTATCACCTCTACTGACAGCTGTGAACACTGTGAACACATACTCGTTCTTGGTCTGAAGACTATTTAAAGCCCTCTGCATTACTGTAGTTCAAACAGATTTGTTTCTTTTTCCAAATCACTAAAGTATAGTACGATACCTGCCTACACAGTACAACTGACTAACACATAATTCATCAGTCTGCATTCAAAGTTAATCAAGGGGAATATTTAAGGCTCCCGAGCAACAACTAGGTAACGACTAGGTTAGAGAAATGACAGGCAGTCATGGTGAGAGTTGCAAACATAAATGTCCATGTTATTAATGTTATAGGATGTACTGCATTGTGACACGTATTAGACCATTTCCACGCTAATGAGCGTAATTCCAAATACACCGTTATTGTGTTTAGGACACACTAGTGTTTTCAGTCCACTTCTGAAAAGTCTCCAAAAACTCAAAAACAACAGCTGGGGATGTGCACCAGGTGTCTTTACATCATTTCCGTTATTTTCATTTGCACAGAGAGTAACACAAGCTCAGGATCAAAACAAGGACGCTGGAGCTGTGAGGTGGCAATATTACCTGTTCAAAGTACTGTACATAATACAGAAAATGGTATTGAATCAATCAAATTGACGCATGTTAGTCCGGGCTAGGCGTTGGACGCTGCATGAGAAGCAGTTAGGAAACAAGAGGTGACATGTGGTGGCTTCATGTTAGCCAGAGGAAGCACCAGTGTGGTAGATGTAATATAAAGGAGTCTACAGAGTGCTGTAAATATGTACCAACCTAACACCTGGAAATGAGTTAGCATTTTAGCACTTCTGGTTCCATCGTCCAAGTCAGTGGTTTTTTTTTAATGAGTTTTTGATGAAATGCCTGAAATAAGGTCTGCTCAAGATATTTTCATGTATTATTCAACAACATTAAATGCATCAGTAATACCCCACTCGTGATTTTTTACGTGTCTTGAAAAAGGCGGTTGCTAATACGTGGCTAAATGGGACTACAGAGGTGGTCGAGGACATTAAACATCATTACGCCAAAAAGAAAAACTCATCTACTACAGTGTTTACACTCACGTTCTTGCAAACTATTCCAACCCAAACTTTTTAGTTTGAAGATTAGCAGTGGTGACTTAGCCAAGCTGCCACTGTTGGGGCCTTGAGCAAGGCCCTTACCCCTCTCTGCTCCAGGGGCGCTGTATCATGGTTGACCCTGCACTCTGACCCCAGCTTCCTAACATGCAGGAGTATGTGAAGAAGAATTTCACTGAACTGTAATATATATGTGACAAATAAAGGCTTATTATCAATTTATAGTATTTTCCAATTGTAGTGTTTTTTTTCTAATTGTAGTGCTATAACGCTTAGTGGTAATAATGTTAACGTCATGCTGCAATGGTGTAGTTCCTTTATAACCATTAGCTTTTTACTTTAGCTTTTTACTTCTGGTGATTGTATTTCACGATGATCTTGCTGAACAAAACATGTAAGAATCATAAACGTTTGCTGGTCACAGAGTTTATTTTCTGCAATAATCCAAAAGCCAATGGAAAAATCCTATTGGCTTTTTGTCAAGGGAACCAGGGTGATGCTGACTTCTGGGTTGACCTTCATAAATATGTAATTTATGGAACTCTATTAGATTTCAGCTAAAGTGGGCTAAAATTTCAGTTAAAATTTTAACTAAATTAAATGTGACATTATTGGACCAGGAAACAAACTATGGGGTCTCACCTATTTGTTTGTATTAGGATCCTCAAACCAAGGATCCTCATACACAGAAAATAAGAAACAGTTGATTTTCTGTAATGAGGATCCTTGGTTGAGAATCCTGATACAAACAAATAGGTAAGACCCCATAGTTTGTTTCCTGGTTTTTGCTGTGTTCATATTTCCCATAACCTCTGACCTACAGAGGGCCACATAAAACATACCACCATTTCTCCATTTCTTCCCTGTTAACATCACTGCCTTTTAAAGTTGAGAGACAAGAGGAAAGGCAGCTGACATCTAACCCCCTAACCGACCTCCTGAAAAATTCACAGCAAGCACCAAATTCTCATTATACTCATTATGTCCTACTATTAGAAATAGCTTATTTACCAAGGACACTACATAAAAAGACTACCAGCAGTGATAATGCTAGCATATTATTTAGTCACTGTCTGCTGCTCTATTGGGGTCAAAGATCATGTCGCATCACAACACATTTCCACTCTTGTGAAATTCAATGGCAGACATCTACGAGGAAATGCCAGTCAGATATTCTCATTTCCTGTAGTCTCCAGACACCAGACACCAATCGGAATGGATCAGATGCCGACAAAAGGCTGTTAAAGAAATCGCAAGCTGAAATCTAATCTATATAACATATGTGGGCTATGCATGAAGCCTGTGGAATGAACTGTACTGAATGCAATCTCCAGACAAAATGGATTTATACTGTATATGATTCAAACAGCTTTCTGCTAGTGTAACAGAACTGAAACTTTGTGGAAATGGTCATTTATATGCATGATGATGAAAAGTTTTATGGGTTAAAATTAGTTCAAGTGACAAAAATATATGTGAAATAAATGTGAAATTGTGGAAAGTATCATATAGTCAAAATTAACACAAAATGTATGAGATTACAATTCAAATTATTGCATTTTCCAGAATATAAATTATTGCGGGGTTTGTTTGTTTGTTTTTGCTTGTTTGTATTTACCACCTAATAAACATGTAAACATGATATCTTCCAGAAAGTAATTACAGCTATAAAAAGTATTTTGATGCATTTACTTATTCAAAATACATACAAAAATTCGATCCAAACATGTTTTGGGTGAAATATCTTCTTAATTCTTTCTCTTGAACCATAAAAGTTAGAACATAAGGTGCAATTTGCAAGTTCAAAATGTCTGAAATTGCAACCATTTTTCTTACTTTGAATGTGGAAAAAATGGTAAATATACTATTAGAGAAGCCCAGTGTCTTTTTGGTATGTAGGCTTGTTTCAGTTCATGAATGCACATACCACAGTTCCATTATTGCATGTTGTTGCCATATGGCAACAATTACATTTGACCATTTAAGAGAATACTCAAAATATATAAACTTGTTTAAATGACAAAAAAAAAATTTTTTTTGCTTAGGTCAGGTAGAGTTTGATTTTTCCCTTTAAGTAATTTTGCCTAAATATTGAAAAATGAGTACTCCGATAATGACCTTTACCATGCCATTTGATGGTAAACAGTACTTCCTGTTCATGTGACCTGGCTTTTTTTTATTATTATTATTATTATTATTATTATGT